GTCTCTGCGTCGAGAGCAGCTGGCTGCTGGCAGGGTGCAAAGTGGGGAGCAGCCCCCAGGGCCCCCAGACCCACCTGTGCCCATGATGGCAAAGGCCTTGAAAGAAGGAGTAATGTGCTGTGAACGCCCATCCAAAGCTGAGAACAGGGGTGGGGCACAAACCAAACCCCAACTACTCCATCTAATCGATGGTAAGCAGTTTAAATGCTCTTTCACAGCAGTTCAGGGAGCCCTAATTCCAGGCGTGACCTGAATCTCTTTAAAAAGATAAGGGAGGGAAAGCTGGCAGGCAAGGAGTGGGGAAAGCCAGAAATGCCAGGGATGCTAATTTGTCCCTGTTTCCTCTCTGCAGAACAGCATCTGGGAGAAAAAGCACCTGCTAAAGAGAAGGGATCCCCACGGAGCAGAGATCCGGAGGCGCGTGCTCGCAGCAATCCCTGTTACCCAGCCTGGACTGGGAACGCTTGACGCAAGAGCAGGATGACGGATGCTTCTGTCTTTGTAAGAGCAACCTGGGGTGCCAATGAGCACTGACAAAGCAGCCCACCCCAGCACAAAGAGGGAGCAGGGGACCTCAGCCCAAATGCAGTGTGGCTGTATCCAGGTCAGCTGGTGAGCCTGCTGGGAAGCACGGGCTATAAAAAGCACAGGCAAGATGCTGGGATCATCCCAGAGCAGCGAGGAAGAAGTGAGGATGGCCCTGCCCTCCAAGGCAGCAGTGCCAGGGTGGCAGTGGGCTGCAGAGGATGGCATTGGCCACACAGGACCATGGGCAAGCACCCTTCTCCCTGGGATTTCCAGAGCAATGGTCCATGAGACAGCACTGACTAAGAGTTACTGCTGCTCTCCAGAGGGAGATGGGGTGTGGAGGAAGGGGGACTGAGGAGGCCAACAAGGCAGGGCTGGCAGATGGAGAGATGCAGTTTGGCATCCCCAGCCCTGACCGAGGAGGTGGAGGTGGAATTGCCATCCCCTGCATCCTTCTATGCCTGGTACTCAGTGGTTGTGCTCCTTCAGCAGGGAGATGCCATGGGGAGCACCAGCCTGGGACCCCATTCTGTATGG